GAAAAGGAAGACCTCCCAACATCCACGTTTTCTCCCCATGGGCTGGGCTGCCCTGCACGATTCTGCCCTCTCTGCTCCTGCTCTAGGACAGGATTGACTTCCCGAGGCTCACCTCTGCTTCTCCAGCAGGGCTGGCACTGTCCCACTCTGGCCCTGGCACCAGGAAATTTGGTGCCACTGTTGGGTGACTGCTGTGAGGGATGAGTCCCAGCAGGGACAGCCTGGACACATCACACAGTATTACAGTAGAAGGGAAAACACTGCTATCAGGAGGAAAACAGAAGTGCTTCAAAATAAGACAATTGGCACCTCTGGAACAGTGATGGGTGAATGCAAATAAGTTTAGTTTGCGTTAGCACTCCCTGAGTCCTCTCCCACAGAACCTGGAGGGCCCAGCCCACTGTCAGCTGCTGAGCAACATGGGAGGGTGGCAAAATCTCTAGGCAGGAGAGTGAATTTATCTGTCTTGGCAGCCTCAGGGCCAAGAGGGCTGCAGGCTTTTTTGACAAGATGGATTATGCATTTGCACTGGTTTAATCCTCTCTGCATCTCTCTGCACACCTCAAAAATTCCCCGTCTTGGTTTCCTCTAGCAGTCCTGGCCCTTGGAGGTCAAGGCATGAGCCAGCTGTGTGTGACCTCACCAGGAAAACTCCCTCTGCATCCTTCCACTCACGTTAGTCATTCCCTGACCCCACTCCAAGCTTTGCAGCTGGGCCAGCACCCACAGTGCTCTCCTTGGGTAAAGAGGGACATGTCCCAACTGCTCCTGCAACGAGCAGGTTGGGAGCATGTCAGCTCCTGCTTCCAGGGCTCCAGGGTTTGAGGAATCACCACCAGCCTGAGTCATTGCCACACCTGGCTGTGGTAACAGGTGGCCAAAGAGCCCATGGCACTGACCTAAGCCACCTCAGCACTTTGGTTTTGTGGTTTCTTGGGATTTTATCTGGGTTTAAGCATTTAACAGCAGGTGGAAGCCTGACATGGAGAAAAGCATGGACTTGGCTTTTTATATAGTGCTTGTAGCATTTGGAAAATTATTTTCTGTGTACTAAATATCTGAGTCATCCTGGGATAGCACTGCATCTACTTTTAGATGTTACCATGTGCTCCCCTCTGCCATAGCTTATGAGGAAAGAGTCTTTTAAACCATCAGGAAAAAGCTGACGCTGCCAGCTCTTCCTCTTCTCTCTCCAGGCTTTGGAAAATTCAGGGGAAACCAAAAGGGGTTTTTATCCTCTTAATGTCAATTAGCTGAAAAGATGAAATACCTCGTGATCAAGCCACAGGTGGTTTGAGAGTGCTGGCTGTGGTTTGTGTGCCAGGCAGTGGAAGCGGAGGTGGGGAATGCTGGGGCTGGCACCATGCAATGCTCATCCCAGCTTTTCCAGCAAAGCCCATTTCCTGGAAGCCCAGCAGGACTCGTGTGCTAGGCTGTTTAGCCACCTTTATAAAGGTTAATAATTACCAGATAAATCCTCTTCAGTCACCCTGCCTATAAGCCCACGTGAGAAGAAAATTCCCTGCACAGCAATTCCAGCTAACTTGGCAATGAGGGCACCAGGGTTTGGGTGAGACCTGAGGAGAGGCTCCAAATCCCCTTAACAGGCACAATAACACGTGGGTGCTCAGGAGAATCCCTGGCAGAGCAGGTCAGGGTGGTGGCACCAAGCTGGGGAGCTGCTGGTGGCACAGGGCATCATCCCCTGCCAGCCCCTCGGTGCTGCAGTGGCCGGTGGCAGGGGGAGCCTGGCAGTGAGTGCAGAGCTCTCTGACACTGGCTGAACCATCCTGTTTTTTAATCCCCCCTCTCCTGCCTCACCAAGCTGAGCTCTGTGGTCCCCACTGCAACCTGCCAAGGCACAAGGGTGCCAGACACGGTGCCCTAAGGAGAGTCAGACATGGTGGACCCTCATTCAGTGCTGGCAGGGCCACAAGGGTCAGCAAGGCATCACTTCCTGACAGGATGGGGAGGAGCTGGTGGCTCTCCTCACCCTTCCACATCTGCACATGGGTAGTGACCCTCAGAGTCACAGCAGTGGCACATAAACTCTGGCAAACCTCTGTGTGAGAGCAAGCCTGTCTAAGCATCTGCTGCATCCACTGTGTCTGAAGGGACAAAGGATCTGTGCTGACTGGTGTCCAAGTGGGATGGAGCACTCAGATTATTAAATAAAAACCCCTGAAATAATAAAAAGGACCCCAAACTTCCCTCCTCTGCATCAGCATTCAGCAGAAAAACTGTTTCCTGGGCTCTCCTACAGGCCAGGGCAGCCCAGAGGGAGGCTGTGTGCTGGGAGAAGCAAGATCACTGCCCAGGCTGTGTTTATCAGCTCTGGCATTGCCCAGCGAGCACAGGGCTGGGCATGGCTGGACCACAACTGCTCTGCTTCCATTTTTGCCAGTGCCTGCTTGGACCTGGATCTTCACTGAGGACCTGGCCATGAGCCCCCACCAGAGCAGCCACAGCTCACCCAGGAGCACAGGGAGCAGAGCTGACTCCTTGGGTCTTGCTGCACAACTGATGGAGGCCTCCAGCAGACACCCCAGGTTTCTTCTCCCTGGTGAGAAAGGCAGGAAGCTCCAAGGACAACAAGAAGTGTTCCCAAGGACCCTGAGCTCAGCCACCAGGCCCCACAGGGACTTCCACCTCTAACACTGAGGTCCTTCATCACCAAAAATACACAGAAGAAGCACCTTTTCCTCAGGAAAAGTCACCCAACTAAACAACTAAACCAGCATTCAGCTTCTTGCCAGTAAAATTCCTGCTTCCCCTCCCTCTCAGCTCCCATGGTAAATGCATATTTGAAGATGCAGTAGGATGCAGTTCCTGCACTAACAGCTCTCCATTCCTGTTCCACTTCAAACCAAAACCTCCAAGTCCTTCGTGCTGAGTCAGGATAACTGCAATGCAGCAGGATGGGGATCCCTCAAGGAGCTGCAGCCAACACCAGAGGCTCCGGCTGCTCCATTCTTCAACCCATCAGCACTGGGTGTCCTGCCTTGCACTCTGCCCTGGAGCAAAGTGCTGCAGCTGTGCTTCAGTTCTCCCAGCACCCCGATGGAAACCCTCCTCATCTCCTGCCCCAGCTGCTCTCGGACCGTGCCAGCGGCATTTGGCTCCTGCCAAGGGACTCGGAGTAAGAGGCGCTCAGGGACTGAGCTGCATCCCACTGGGATAAAGCAGCTTGGGAGGGCAGAGATCAGACATGGTAAAAACTGTGCATTGGGAAGGGGAGTTCTGGTCTCCTGTGAAGCTCCTTGGCAGGATTTCAAGGCCAGGCTTGACGGAGTTTTGAGGAGATTGCCAGGACTGAGGGGATTCCCAGGATCAGCCCAGGCTCAATGCAGAGGGGTGAGTGCTCCCCTCAGCTGCTTTTCAGCCATTTGCTTCTCCTTCCCTGGCTGAACTGACCCAGGACAACACCAGGGTCGCTGAGCTGCTTCATCCTCAGATCCCAAAACTGGGTGAGATCCCAAGTTCAAGTCAGGGATCCCAGTTCAAGCCTGGGATCCTCAGTTCAAGCTTGTGGTGCCAGGCAGGTGTGAGCAGACATCCAGGGACTCCCGAGCTCTGCAGCAGTGAAGAGGCAAGCGCTGCCACTTGGGATCATCCCTTGTCATCCAGACTGCCAGGGATTGACTTGTCACTGCAGCAGGAAGAGCCCAGGATGTGTCTGTGGGCACCGAGGGGAGGGTAAAATTCCTTTCTTCCCCCCACAGTTTCCTTGCACAGGGGAAGTGCGGGGGCACTTTCATGCAGCACTTGCTTCTGAGAACTTTAAACAGCTACAAGCTGGGGAAAATATCATCCTCTGAACCACAAACTATTCCTGGCATCTGCTCCACTAAAAATGAACTATAAAAAGCCAAACTCATTCACAGCATAAAATGTAGCTCTGCATCATCATTGCTACAGGCTGGAAATGTCTGAGGGGGTCACTCTTGTTGACTTCCCTAAGCAACATCTGTTTAAAAAAATCCTCCTGTAGTCAGCACAACTGCCCCAAGCCAAGCTCGTGGCTGGCTGAGCACACAGTCAGGTTTGGGGACAGAGATGGGGCTCAGGGAACACGGTTGGGCTGACCCAAGAGACGTGAGTGTCACCCTGGCCATGAGTCCCAGTGCAAACTGCCTGCATCCCTCTGCACACAGCCTCACCGTGGCTCACAGGGACAGGGGGGTGGCTGGGGGTGTGTGATCACAGAACCCAAGAAGGGTTTGGGTTGGAAGGGATCCTCAGGATCATCTTGTTCCAATGCCCTGCCATGGGCAGGGATGCCAACATGTGGAAAAGGACATGGGAAAAACAGACAAGGGTAAGCAGGGTCAGATACAACAGCCTGGGACTCCCAGCACCACCTCCAAGTGAGACTAGGAAATTACTCTGGTGACAGAGAATTGTATGATAAAATAACTTCTTTGGTTTCTTTCTTTAGAAAACATCTTTCACACATGATATAAAAACAGGTAGTTAAGGAGTAATTTTCAAGCCAGCTGTATCAGTAAGTTTGGGGCATCCTCCCCCTTCCTGTGCCTCAGCAGCAAATTCCCTTCTCAAACAAAAGCATGACAAAAAAATGCAAGCAAATCCTCTGTGGGAAATACTGTTAAATGACTAAAACCCCCAACAAACCCAAACTTATATAGTTGAAAACAAAGCCAAACAGTTTTCTATAAAAGGGAATATGTTCTTCCCCAGAAATAATGACCCTGGATGCAGGTTTTTCTTCTGATAAAATACTGACCTTTGATGAGGGCTGGAAAATCAATGGTCATCACCTGGTGAGCTCCCAGGAGCTGCCCCAGCCACTGGCAAGGGGATGCTGCTGTTCACACATCCCATCGCATCCCATCCCATCCCATCCCATCGCATCCCATCCCATCCCATCCCATCCCATCCCATCCCGTCCCATCCCATCCCATCCCATCCCATCCCATCCCAGTAGCAGTGACACAGCTGCCATGGCACCGTGCCACTCCATCACTCATCTCTCATGCTGCTTTTCAAGTTATGTTTGGGAAGATGAATAAATTAATGAAGCCTCAGAAGATAAAAACCAAAACAAAGAGCACCCAAAAAGTCCAGTTCATGTTCTCAGGGCAGCTGGAAGCGCTTGCGGACCTTCTCCTCAATGGAGCGGAGCTTGACCATGCGCAGAGCATCCAGCAGCTCCTTGGTGACTTCAGAGTCCTCCTCCTTCTTGTGAGTGAGGAAAGCCCGGAATTTCTCTTGGATGGCTGCCCTGGTCCATGATGCCTGCTTCTTCGGGGAGCGCTCCAGGATCTGCTGCAGGCGCTTCAGCTTCTTGACGGGGATGTTCTGATACACCACAAAGTCTATCATGGCTTGTTTGCAGTCATCATCTTCTGCAGCTGGTGGGGGAAAAAAGCCTGGAGGTTAAAGGGAGAGCAGGGCAGAGCCCTGCCAAGGCTCTCCATGGGAGAGGGAGGTGGGGAATGCCCGAGGCCTGGAAGTGTTCAAGGCTAGGTTGGAGGGAACAACCTCGTCTAGTGGAAGGCTGAACTTCCTATCAGGGACACACCCTACAGGGGGCAGTTGGAAAACAACATGTTCTGAAGAAAGTCAGTGTATCTATTCCATGCTCTTCCCCAACAGGGAATAGAGGAAAAGCCCAAATATCAAGTATTTACACATTCTTTTTCCTGAAAGTTTCTGTTTTCCCATGCAGATTTGTAAATCTGTAACAGGACTATCCCTAACACAGCTCCAGTCAGGGTGCTAGGATGGGACAGATGTGGCCCCAGCTGGTGGAAGCTGCTGGAGTGCATCCAGCATAAGGAATGAAAACAGAAAGAATTTTCAAGAGGGCAAGGCCAAAGGATTACTCAATCAGGGAGAGATTAGCTCAGTTTCATGCCATTGCAAACTGGGCACGATTTCACTGGTTATAGTTGGGGTGGGTTGAGCTCCACTGCTCAGGCTTTGCCTCTCTGGCAGTCTTGGTTGACAATGAGCAGATCCCTGGGTGACTCCTGAGAGGAATCATCAAAAACTGGAGTTGAAAAAACCCTTCAGCTCCCATTGCTGGGGCCTCCTCTCTCTATAAATATCTGCAAAGGGCTGGGCTGGCTGCGGGGGCCGGAGCCTGACGCACGTGCTGCTGACACTGCTCTGACCTGGCCATCCCCCACCCCGGGACTGCATCCCACTGCTGACGGAGCTTTCCAGTCTGTGTGTTGGGATCACACTGCTGGCAGGGAACTCATGCTGTGAGTCAGGCTTTGTAAGGAGAAATCTCTGCACTGGTGGTGCCAGCAGAGGATGGAAAGGCAAGAGCTGCAGGTGGGGAAGCCTCCACGTTCTCTCACCACAGAGGAAAATCTTTCGGGGTCATGGGATGTTGTTGGAAGGGACCCACAAGGTTCATTGAGTCCAAGTCCTAGCTCTGCACAGACCACCCAAAACTCCTACAACCATGCCCTGACAGCTTTGGCCATGACCACTTCCCTGGGGAGCCTGTTCTGGTGCCTGACCACCCTGTGGGTGACTTTTATTAAAGCTCTTCTACAAGCTTTGTCCTGATGAAAGAATGACATTTTTTCACACCAGAACAATCTCCCCTGGATGTGGTGAGGTCCCCATTGCTTTTGAGATTTTCAGGACATGGCACTGGATAATCTCATCCAGGCTCATTTTCCCATTAAAGGCTGGACCAGATAAATTTTCCAAGTCCCTCCCAGCCTGGGCTGTTCTATGGCTTTATATCTTTTTGGAAGCTTAAGGATGAAGGTACACCACCATCCAGACCAGTCACATGAAATTTCTTTCCCGTGCCTGGATCCTCAGGGTGGAGCAAGTAGTACCAAACAGCTTCCAGCCTCACCTCAACTGGCATCAGGCCTTTGAGATGGGTTTGGGAGCCCTTGAGATGGTTTTTCAGTCCCTTTCTCACCCCCTAGCTTGGGGAGGGAGCATGTTACAAAGCACCCTTGGAACAGAGCCTTTTTTTTCTGCCCTGCACCTGTTCTTTTGCCAAGAAAGGTTGAACCAGATGGTCCTTGAGGTCCCTTCCAACCTGGGATTCAGGTATTCTCTGATCTGTGCCCACTGGCTGTTTCTACCCAAGCTTCCCCCTCTGCCATGGCTCAGCACTGCACCTGCACCATGCACTTTTACACCTGAAGGGTCAAAATCCACCCCACACTCAGCTCTGATGAACTTTGGGCTCTGCTCCACTCAACCTGAACGAGACCAGGCTGTGGTTGCCATAAAAGCCACAAGGAAAAGGGAGTGCAGGAGCTGTGCCAGCACCAAGATGGGTGCCTCAGCTGCCAGAACTATCCCTGTCCCAGCACTCCCAGCTGTCCCTGGTAAGATCCAGCAGGATTTCACACTCAGCTCTTTGTTCTAACTGTGCAGTGACTGTTGCTTAAGCCCAGCATCCTGTCCTTGCTCTATGGGACTGACAATGGAAGGATATGAAAGGAGACAGACTATTTCATCTGTAATTATTATTAATTATGGGTCACTCCATGCTTTTACAAGCCATTTAACCTCATTTTGCATCTAAGTAGGAGAAAGTCATGAGGAAGTTTGCCGTTGCCCTGGCAGCATCAGTCCTGGCACGCTGTGCCCGTGGCTTACCTGATCCCTGTGTGCTGTTGCCTCCCCCCAGCCTGCAGGACATGCAGAGAGTGTCGTGGTACTTGTTGCCCTGCACGTTGGTGACCTTCCCCTGCTGCTCACAGTCCTGGTGTGGCTGGCATGGATCGGTGCTGAAGTTGGAGGAGAAGAAGCCGTGGGGGCACTCATGGCACTGGGTGTCCTCAAAGGGGGTACCTGTGCACGGGGAGACAAAGGGACCGTCAGGGGACAAGCTGGCACAGGGGCAGAGGGAGCAGCTGGGGATGATGCCAGACACCACTTGAACATGAGGGTGATGTTTTGGAAATGATCACTGCCGGCATCTCCCCTGGCAACTGCATGTCCTCATGTAGGGCAAACAGCAGCGCTTCCCCCAGCCTTCTCCCAGGCCTGTGCTGATAAATTGTCAGCAGCCCACAGACATGAGAGGACAGCAAGAGGACATCTCATCTTGCAATGAAAAGGCCACCTCCCAGGTGGGAGCCAGCAGCCAGGCTGGTGGCTGAGCTGCCAAACCAGCCCTTTGGTTCCCAGAGCCAGAGGCTCCCGAGCAAGTGAAAGTAAAAGTCTCTGTGGAGGTGAGAGCTCAGCTGTCCTTGGCTGAGCTGTCACTGCTCCCTCTGGCTCCGGGCCAGCGCTTCTGTTCTGTCCAAGGATGATGGCTCACAGGCAGGATTGCACCAGGCAACTTTCCCATTCCCTGGGAGCAGAGGGAAGGGTCTGGGGCCGGGAGATTCCTCACCCCATTCTCCTTCTCTTCACAAATCAAATTGCAAGAGGTTTCTACATTGTTGCCACTGCCTTTAGGCTTTTCCTCCAGTCTGATCTTTCATTCCCTCCCAACCCAGACCATTCTGTAATTCTAAGGCCCAGCCATAACCCCCAACATCAGACCCACTATTTGCAAATGGGAAATTCAAAGAAGTTGGTTTGCCCATGGTGATTGCGCACAGATCAAAATCATCCAACCCAAACACCAGAAAACTCTGCCTACAGCCCCCAGTCCACAGCTTCCCCTTCCAGACACCAGCACTGGCAGGTCCAGGGCTCTGCCCACCACACTGGACACTCAGTCCTTGCTGTGGTGTTCAGGTGGCTGGGCTGAGGTGCAATCCTCTGCAGACAAGAAGCCATTTTCAAAAATAAATAATAATAACAAAAAAAAAAATCTTCTCCCTAAATAACCAGCTTGCTTGCATGGCTCCCCAGTCCTAAAGCCAACCCTCCAGGCAAATTTAATGTTTAATTTCAAAGTGCTTTCCTGTAGTGTTTGGAGATCTTCTTCCCCCTTTGCTGTGTTACTGCAAAGTAACTACTGTTTTGTTATGTTCTATAGAAAATGAAACCCCAAATCTCATTCATAAACATCAGCTGAAGACAACAGATACTTTCCCTCTGGCTGGTGAGCCTGGAGCTCTTCCAGGTCACACATGGAAGGACTTCAAAAGACTCCATATTTCAAAAGCCTCTCCACTTCAAAGTGTGAAGCAAGATTCTGCTGGGTTTGCTGGTGCTGCCCACATTGGTTTGCTGTCCCCTGCTGTGGTTTCCAGGCAGAGCCTGGTCCTCAGTGACTGATGAGCTTACACACATTTGGAACAACTAAAGGACCAGAGAAATCTGGTCCTAGTTTCCTGGCTTCCCTGCTGGGGAAACAGCAGGAAAATAAATCCCCTAAAATATCTTGGGATTTAGATCACACAAGGGGATGGAGTCTCAGACTCAGGAGTCAAAATAAAGCTGTTTTTCTGGATTTGGAACCTGGCTGTGTGTTTTCAACACAGCCTCTCCAAACTGCTCAATGAAAAACTATAAAACCAGACCCCAGAGCTTCATGCATTCACCAGCCCTGCCCTTACATCATCAGCCACCTTTTTCAGCCCAGATGATCAGCATTCCCAGCTCCTGGGCTGTCTATGCAAGGAGAAGGGAGCTGATGAAGGACCAGGAGCAGCTTGGAGCTTCCCACTGGCCTGTGGAATAGGGACAGTGGCTGTTCCAGGGGTGGCCAAGTCACAGCCTGGCTCTGCCTGTTGTGGCAGGTGAGGCAGGTAACTGGGATTGACACATCCCATCAAAGTGTGCTGCTGGGGATTTCAAGGCTTTCAAAGTGATAGCTAGGGAAAAACCCAAGCAAATTCCTCTTTGGAAAAGAAGCAGGAGCACGCCAGCAAGGATGGCACCGTGCCAGTACCAGAGCTAAAAGGGAGTCGGGTCAGGCTATGGGCAATCATTGGCTGCTGTCTTTGGCTGCTGTATTTATCCTTGATTTTTATCTCCAGCGGAGATTTTGGGGTGTGACAAGAGCCTTGTGAGGACGCCCAGTGCCCACCTGGGTACTCACCCGGCTTCACAACACCAGAGCCCGGCGGGCACTCGGAGTGCCTGATGCAGAGCTCCATGTTGGAGTAGTAGCCCTGCTGGCACTGGCAGGCGCGGTTGTGCGTGGCATTGCACTGCTGCACCTCCACCTGCTTCTCCCCGCAGATGACATTGCAGTAGCGGCACTTCTCCAGGTAGTTCCAGTACTGAGTGTAGTGCAAATCCGGGCAGGGGTCGCACTTGGTGGCTTTGTCCTTGGAGCAGTGTTGTGCCACGTAGGTCCCCGGCGGGCACTGCCGGCAGGTGATCCTCTCGTTCGTCACAGCATCCTTCCACTGGTAGGTGGGCTGGGCACCGCAGGCGAGCTCAGCCAGCAGCAGGAGGAGAGCGGGGAACTACGGCAAAGACAGAGCAAAGAGCCCTGAGCCCATCCTCGGGCAGAGGCGGGAGCAGCAAACGCTGCTGCTGTTACAGAGCTTGGTATTGTGGCAGATACAAGAAATTGTTCTCCCTCCCTATAATGTTCCCAAGGAGCAGCGGCTGCCCTCCTTTGCCATCCCAGGTGACAGAGCATCCTACCCAAACCCATTTGTGATGCCTTCAGAACCCAGTTTCCCTCATTCAGAACTTGAAGCAGCTCCAGCACATTCCGCTCTTTCACCCCCGTCAGTTCCCCAGCACTTGCAGCAGGAGACACCTTTGCAAACCAAGAAGCAGAAGGGAAGTTTTCCCAGCTAGCAGATGGAAAGCATGCTCTCTAGGATCTTCAGCACTTTTTGGAAACCCAGATTCTCAGGATAAGACTGAATCTCAGAGCTTGTTTATCCTCCCTTTCCTTTTCAAAGCCTGACAAGCAGCAGATCCATTACCTTGGACAGATGCCTCAGGCTGGGCACGTGGCAGGATGGCATCGCACCGAGGGCTTCCGAGCGCCGGGCTCACAAACCTGGGGAGACACAGATGGTTTCTCGGGGGCTGCTGCTGGCTGGGCCGGACTCCTCCCTGCAGCGGGGCTGGATAGGTAAAGGCTGATAGGGAAGGGCTGTTGGGAAAGACTGGATTTCCTCGCCGGCTTTCCTCCGAGTCAGCCGTTCCTCCGAGGGAGATGCCGGCTCTCCCCAGGGCAGGGACGGAGCAGAGCCTTATAGCGGCTGCGGGTGGGAGGCTCTGAGCACCCGAGCACCCACGCAGCTCCAGACACGTAGAATCGACCGGGGGGG